AGCGACCAGATTGATAAACACAGACTCATTTATCTGAATGTAAGCTAGTCGCAATCACTTTTAAAATAATGTAAAGACAACAATACACAAATTTTTCCTAAAAGTGGAGGCTTTTCTTCCCATTCTGCATTTTATACAAAAATATTCTCAAACTATACATGTGTGTTTAAATTGACAGATAAAGGTTGGTATATGTATATTAAAAACGAATATACGAGTATATTATGTCACCCGTTAGAAAGATATTCATATCCGATGGGGCAGCATTGCTCAATTATTTATTTCTGAACTAACAAACATGTTTTTCAGATATATATCATTTCCTACATACAAATAATTCATTATTAGCTGATTGAAGAAATGGAAATCCACCAAGCAGAACAGTGCGCCGTACGTTATCATTGATATTTTGTGCGCAATACGTTATCATTTCCGGAAAATGCCCCGATATTAATATTAACAGCAGTGAATCTAGCGAGAATGGGCATGGATGCTAAGATGACGACCTACTATAACTTTTTAAAGTCAGTGGTTTCAATTAATATACATATTTGTAAACGAAACAGTGAATCTTAGAGAAGAAGCGGTACGTTACCACGATCAAACCGGTAGAAAATTCTCTTGTTTCGATTCTAGTGACGCGCATTTCAAAAGGACTACGGGACGAAACATCATGAAATAAAACCCAGTGTGTCCGGAAAATTTAGGAGAAGGTTATTTTATATACATTTACACAAGAACATCACGAACTTCAGAGAAGAAAGGGAAAAACTTACTTTTCGGCTGCATCCGCCATCTTCTTTGTTTGGGTAACGAACGGCGTGATTCTCCCCAGTGAAACAGATCCCGCATATTCAACTTTAATTTTCATTGGCACGGCCGAATGTACCGTTTATTGTTGTATGTACTTCAATACAGCTATGAAAATGAATTTGTATAGCGGTACGTAACAGATTTCTATTTAGCATATTTTTAGCATGAGTTCTTGTCACAAAGATAAAACGGTTATTCATTTTATTCTATAATTTCTTTTCTTTATTAGTTTTGCTCGAGTAAAACAATTATGATAATTTATAACCGGTTTTCAACATAATCACACATGCTTGCTAATCCATTGAAAACTAGATCTACAAAGTACGCTTGATTGAAATGAAAAAAAAAACTATATCTTTCATAGTCCTAATAAAAGAAAGGAAAAATCGAAAATCTTGTTTATTCTTAATTATGGAAAGAAAACGAAAAGCACCAAGTTTTGAAACAAAATATGAGATTTTATGAGTTTGTTATAAGTGGAGTTTACAGTATTTTATATTGCTTGACACAGGAACTCCACTGTTAATGTAATATACTCTAAATAAGATACCGTATTAAAGGTTAATATCAACACAAACTCATAATAAGCGTACAAGCATGTAATAATTTGTTGTGTGGTATTTTGCCTTAACACTATTGAAAAGTCAAATGCAGGCTGTGGTTCTGTTACTTAGAAGCAGTTATGAAATTTAAGGAACCGCCAAATGCAGCCAATAGTGTTATAACTGGCAATCACTCATTATTGCTCTGTGTCTGTGTACTAAACTGAAAGAACAATGGACTGTTAATTAATTACAAATAAATGCCTGTAACTAGGTAACGGTGTCATGCTGTCCTTATGCTAGGAAATATTCATGTGTGCATTAACTAGGGAACAGTTCTCTTTAACTAGGAAACATTAGTGTAGGCCTTGTAAGTTGTAACTAGGAAGGTCATGATAATAATAAATGCCATATCATGCAGTTCGAATTGGAATATCCGTCACAAAGTTATCCGCTCATTTGTTATCATGGCACAAACTAAAAAACAATGTAAATAACAAACAGCAATGCTAAAAGACACCACTTGCAAAGCCCAAAATTTTCAATTCCTTTGTCTTTTATAACATGCAGCTTGGTACTTTAGCCTTCTGATATGGCAATAGTAGAAAATGAAAAAAAAAACTCTTTCAATGTTGTATAACATCTTAATTAAACCTTAAATGTTTTACAAGACTTACATGGAAATGAAATCAAATTCTTAAATAAGGATCAGGTTAATCATTTATGATTTATCACATAAGAAATTTTATAAACAATACAAAACTTATTATAAAATTGTCGCATACACGTTGTTACACTTTCTAAAACATGTAATGTTTAACTACCAATGCTTGTGTTAATATGTTGGAGATCCCCCCCTTTCAGACTTTTGTATTAGAATTCATTTTTTTACAAAATTATGAAAGAAGAAAATGTGATATTTTAATTATGCTCCCTTAATTGGTTTATTTCACAAAACCATAAGCAGTCAATAACAGTTCCACTGCAAACAAACTCCAAAGAACATGTGTATCTGTATGAAGCTGAATGGTGATGATTCAAGTAAAGGTCAACTGCCCTCAGTTACTACTTGGTTTTGATGAACATAGATAATTTTAGGGTTCATAAATCTATATGCTCATATCCGAAACATTTGAAGAATTTAAACGCCATACATTAAACAAAATTTATTCGCGACAAACTAGAGATTTCAGGATTAATGAACATTACTAAAAAGATTCAGGACACCATTTGTATTTATAATTAGGCTAAAAGTATCAAATTGTGGTCAATAATGTGCAAAAAATACAGAAATTTTTGCACAAATGAAAAAATATGAAAAACAAAATCAACAAGGAAGAGTGACGTTAAATGAACGCAACCACTACACAACCAGCAACACAGGATCAGCAGCAACGATCCAAGTAGGACCCTAAAAACAGGACAAGGCTCAAGGCAAAGCAGGGACGGGACAATCGCTTAAATAATATATAATAGCAAATATAAGTAACAGACAAGGAAATTAAAGCAGCCAATGTATTGCTAGATTAATAGGCCCACAAAGTAAAGGGGAAGAAGACTAGAGGGTCAATGAAGGGAGGGAATAATTAAAAAATTAAACAAGGGGCAAAAGAAAAGACCGTATGCGAGAAAACAACAAGGGACACAAAAGTATTATCAAGATAGTATATAAGAAAGACGTACATCTGAGAAACACGGAGGACACGGCCTTGGAACGGTCAGCGGCCTTATCATTGCTGAGGAGTTAAATCCGGTTAACGGTGCACCAAACCTCAATCTTAGTTCTACCATGTTCCTCTGAAACGAGATGAATCCCTGCCAAGTGAAATTCTAACAAAAGGTGAAATAATAAAAAACAGAAATGATCATGTAGAAATTTATGAAAGTAAACCCAATGACCGTAAGAAAAGTATTCAATGTCAGACCAATGAGAAAATTACCTATAAGAGTCCGACGAAGCAAGGCAGAAGTCGGAAATTAAGACAATTTTGTCCCAAAGCGTTTTTATAACTGTCCATCATAAAAACTTCCACTTGGTCCGTCAGATGTAATCAAAAAAGGAAAGCATAGCGACAAACTGTAAAAGTGTTGTGAACATTTAGCATGCAGTATGTCTTGAAATAGTAGAGTCAAAACCGCTTTTATTAAAACGTTTAATAATTTTAGTAAAAACAACATAAATATTACCTTGACCCAAGATCTTTTGAAGTTTATAAATCGTATGTCCATAAAATATAAATATAGATTGCTTATCCCTTGCCACAGAAGCGTTTTTAAATCCCAAATGAATTTTGAAATAAGATCAAAATTACGATTGTAAAATTTTGTACAAAATATTCGTTATTTATGATTGCTGTAGCCCTGTTTTAGAAGCTTTCTAGTAATAAAAATATTCCGCTCGTTAAAATCCTTTGCTACAAACTCTATCGTATATGATTACACGAGATACATATGAACATAAATGTGAATAATAAACAATACCAAAATCAGAGTTATCTCTGTTTTCATAGATGTTCTTTAGTGTAAGGAGGCATTGACCCCATAAAGTCCAAAAAAATCACAAATACGATTTTCATGTAAGCATGCTATATACCAAGATTGATTACCTTATATCAGTCCGAATCAAAACATTTGTCCAGAAACTATTTCTTATATTTTAGCAACTGTCGCATTGACCTTGACTCCATGGTATCCAAACGCAATCCTAACCGGAGTTTCCACACAAGGTTGCTTAATACCATTTTGATTTCATACTCTAGCTATTATCCGGAAACCGTGAAATGGACAGACAGACGGACGGAAAAATTAACTACGATGTTCCCCTACACTTCGTTTGTGGGGGTATAATAAGAGCAGAAATTTCATGCAATTCGAAGATTCATGCAATTTGAAGATTACAACATTATAAACCTTCAAACAAAGTTAGCCTGTTATCTAATATAGTTTGGTTTGTAAGGATAGACACGCATTTTATTTCAGAAGGGCAATACCTTAGAGACCCTTTTTACTATTCTGGTAAGGTACAATATCCATATCTAATGACATTCTTTGTTAAATTCTTTTGAGATGATACCCACTCTTTCAGCAGTTTTGGTCAATTTTGCCTTTTTACCTCTTTAACCTTGTCGAAACTGATATTTTTTTTATATCACATTACTTTATTACGTGAAGGTGACAATAAATCATTTGACGTCGCTATTGGAAATTACCAGTAGAAGTTTTCAAAAGTCTACTTTGACTAAAATAGCACAGGACTTTAGATGTAAATGCCAATGATAATATTATTGTGAAATATCACCTATATTGTGTATGAAAGTTTCGTTACATTTAGATCATGATAATTATAGCATTGAGTCACTGTTGAGACAAAATATTGCATTCAAAAATGAGAAATTATGCAATTTAGAACATGTTACTATATACTTATAATAGAAAAAATATAAGAACTGTTGCATTTAGAGAAAGTTACGGCTTACAATAATACAGCCCTCTTTGTATATAGTTAAACAATGTAACTTTTATCAAAATCTCGTGCTGAAAATGTTTTACAGAGGAAAAACACACTCTTGCTTTATTGTGCAACTGTTTATTACTATTTGTTTATTATATAAAATACTAAATTATGGTAAGTCTGCTCTTTATCATACTTTTTGGGTTTAGGAATAATATTATTTTTATTACAGCAGATAGTATTACTTTTTTGTTACCTTCATGACACTGCTGAAAATGTAAAAAGACAAATTTCGCTTACATGTTTACAAAACTACGATCCTATTTTATTATTATTTATAAATATACATATATTTTACAAAATATTAAAAAAAACATATAATCTGAAGGTAACTAAAAGCCAAGAAAACGAAACAAACCTATCCGAAACAGCATTTAGGTATTAAATAGTATTGTGTGGAATCAGGTATGATATCTTGTTTATATTTTTATTTTAACTTTTTTGTAAACCTTTCACTGCTTTAATTTGATTTTATTGTTATATAACCATAACTGTACGTTTAAGGCCCCAAAGGGCGTAAAATGTTGCACTTTCCATTAATTACCATGAACAGACTAAATAGAATAGAGTTAACAGTTTTCATTGTTCTCAGTGGCTGTCTCCTTTCCATATTGTTTTACAAATTTGTTCTCATTTTTTTTGGAATAGCACATTGTACTTGGATCCAGCATTAAAGCGGCTATAAATCATGATTCAATCTAAACGTTATCATTTATAATACATAACTAATTATAAGCTCCAATAAAAAGATTTCTTTATGCAATTTCTATGAATTATGAGCTACAGACAATATGATCTGACAATTATGCAAAGTCAATTTTGTTATTACTCCATGTTCTTTTTCTTTCATTACAGTAGGATTTGCTCTGCTACAGTCATTTCTTAAAATCGTTCTTTTAAAAATGTACAAATCTGCCTAATACTTACACTGTAGCTCTTGATAAGTATATATGTATTGCACATGAACTTGAATTCATTTATCTTTAATGTTTTGTGTAGCATTTAATTACTTTTAAACTGTAAGAAATATTAAATGTCTTTGGATTGCCTAATGTGTGACTGATCATTTGTTTTGTAAGTTCATACAAAATCTCAAATTCTACGCTTTTCTCAATGTGCCTTTCACAATTTTGCCTCGTTGGGCTTTCTTTAGGAATTCTGTTTTTCTCTTTTTCACAGCAATTAAAACATATTGCAATTCGTATTTATTTTCTATTCACAGATTATGTTCTTCACCAGGGCCATCTTTCTCAGAAATCGTACAACATGATATGTCTTGTAAGTGATGTTCCAATATTGATATACACAAAGAAAATAGCGTATTGACAAACTTTTAATTTAAGTTTCTTTATATTTTGTTTTACAAAAACAATAGATTATTTTCCCGCCAATATTTAAATGTTTGAATACGATATTTTAATGAATCTTGCAAGCTTTTATGAAGAACTCTTGTGATTCCGGAAATCTTGCTTGCATACTTTTTAATCACCCTTGCCTTTTAAATTTGTCTTTGGACGTCTTGTCTGTGATATGCAGGATTCATAGCCTCAAATCCCCTTTTAAAATGTCATTTAATTTAGTGCCGACCATTGTTTACCCGTTTAGGTAATACATTCATTCATTTGGGGTACGATACGCCGCTTTCTTATTGAATGATTCTAACGAGTCACTCTGAAGGTTCCATGATTACTGCCGTATGAACACATTTGCTGATGTTTCTAAATTAAAAATTTCAACGGTTTTTTGTTAAAATGTTGAATTCTGTTTAAGCCGCTGCTAGGATTGTGAACGGTAACTTCCACTATCCAGTACCGTCTATGAAAAAGTCCATTTAAACCGAGCCAGCATTATTTTCAATTTGGTCGTATTGGGCTGTCTTTAGGGATTTCATGTTCTCTATTCTACACATCAGCTATATAACAAATTATTGTTTATAATGCAGAGGGTTAATATAAGGAAATATATTTTAAGTCTTAGGCTTTAATTCGTTTTAGTACCTTCTGTAACCGAACATGCATTTTGATAATTTTACATTGCTAGCTGCATTTTTAGTTATATTTATTCAACTATGAATTAAAATTCTGACATATGTGTCATGGTGCCGATCCTTTGACTGCAACGTTAGACAATTTTATGTGGGAATTCGAAAGTTTTTAAACAAGACTCGATTTACATTTTAAACTTTTTAACATTATTTTCTTCATGAAATACAAAATAGTTTCTAATAAACAAACTGATATGATTTCTAGTACCTTCCATGAACAGGCTAAATCAAACTGAGCCTATAATATTTGTGATTATAGTTTTGTTGTTTTGATCAATCATAGGAGATTCTGTTCTTTCTTTTCTCATTTATTTTGAACCCGGAAATGGATGTTTGAAAAAGATAACAGCACATATACCATGATAACCAAGGCAAACGCAACAGCTTGTTATCTCTGCGCATTGCCCACAGTCTTTACTAACTTCAACTGTTAAAAAAATTAATTTGATAAATTACTCTTTCAGAAAGTGCTTTATTTAGTATGTAATAGCTGTCTTTTATGCGTTGTTTCAGAAAGATAATTTGTCCTCTATTTCATACACATTTCCTGTTCCATCATTAAATCTGGCAACGATTTGTTGAAAAACTGTTTGCCCGAAAAAAGAAACCCAAATCAACGAATATGTATGTCTTTATAATGGGTGACATAAACATTTTAACACTGCCTTGAATATATAAACACACTTGATGTCAGTTTGTTTTACCTGACAAGTGTACAATATTTAAACAAATATAAACAAAAAAGTAACAAGTAAATTACAAGTTAATAACAGTAAAAATTCACTGATAAAAACACCCAATAACAGTGTTTTGGCAACCCCTAGTTGGCTCACATGTTGTTACATGTTGTGTTCATAATAAGACATGACATGAATGAATCAAGTCAATGTTAGTATCACATAAACATGATTACACATATCCTGCTCTAAAATGTGACATAAACTTATGCACAATTTGTTATATTTTTATTAGTACACGTATTTCAGGTTTTGATAAATGTTTCAATAGTTGGTGGTAAAAATAGTTAGCCTATACCGTCGTCTGGTCGTCTGAACAACATAATAATTCACATATTCAACATAGTTTATAATGATTTCATTCACAGTCAAAAAGAAACACATGTTGCTCACGTTTCAGATGAGATCTCAAACCAATTTGAAGCTTTTGTATGGAATGATATATTTTTATGAATTAGACAACGTGTGTTCTTTTGAAGCCTATGTAATATGTTTTATTATACCAAATTTTCCCAAATGGTTGAGGTATTTCGATCGAACATGTCTAAATTCATATGTTTTCTAATTCCTATTCAGAAAAATAGTACACATCAACTTAACAAAACCAGTCTGGAATTTCAAAAGCAGAATGAACGTATGGAACAAAGATTGAAATTAATACGGCAAAAATGTCAACATTACATGCAAGATAATTACTGGCAGAACCTTCGGCTAAGTGGTCATGTTTTATCTTACGAAAAAGAGCAAATACATTTTTGTTTAGTTCCAAAAGCAGGAAATACATTCTGGAAACGTATCATACGATTTCTAGCGAATGACTTCCCAGAAAACTTAAATATAAAGCGGCCAACAGATATCGACAGACATTATATTCATGAAAGTCCTCTTATCAATATTCAGAGATGGAGTATGCAAAATCCTATTTCTCGGATGTTGATGACAAACGGAAAATTATTTATGATTGCACGTGATCCATTTTCAAGATTATGGTCAGCGTACATCGACAAATTTCTCCTTCCTGACTTTTGGCACAAGGATGCCTTGGATTGTGTAAAGAAACTCCGACCAAATGCGACATATAATGAGATAAAATGTGCAAATGATGTATCATTTGAAGACTTTCTTAAATTTATATGCGAGACATTTACAAAAGGATTGAATAATCACTGGGAAAGATTGCATCGAATATGTAGCCCGTGTCACGTTCAATTTGATGTTATCGGTACAATAGAAACTTTTCTTTCGGATTACGACTACATATTAACAAAATTTAATTTAGATTTTCTTAAAGAAAATACAACGAAACTTGATATTGTTCAGGTTGAAATAGCAACACTAACTAAATACAATTTTGATTTAGAAAGAGCAGTTGTGCAGACATGTTTTGACAAGACTGATGTTGCAAAGAGACTGTGGTTAGCTTTTCAATACAATGGTTATATAGATAGGCACATGCATTTTCCTAAAAATGATTTGCTGAAGACTAAATTTGTAGAATACCCAATTCAAATATTTACAGATATTGTTTTAAGAACAATAAAAAATCAAACTAAATATGGGATTGATATAACAAGACAAAAACGAACAATGATGCTAGAAGCTTATAGGAAAATACCAAAAGACTTATTAAAAAATATAATTTCGGTGTATAAATATGATTTTGAACTTTTTGGATATAAAAGTAAATTGTTTGATGATTAAAAGTAAATAACATAGCTTTGAGGTTCCAACCCAAATAAACACAAAAACCTGTTCGTATACTGCCTAACGCTTTTCCTATTTTTTAACGCCATCTTTCATTTTTGATCTTGTTTATCTTATCGTATTAAAATGACGTTATCAACTCTCACTGACTTACAAGCTTAAAATGTCTACTGTCCTTGAATGAACAGTTACCACTTGCACACAATTTCATTTTAAAAATCCAATAACTGTGTCCAAGCCAAAGCGTTACCCTCAGAAATTTCGAAGATATCTTCACATTAACGGTAGATATACTGTATAGACCGATTATTGAAAACAAAAGAAATTGTAAACGTAAATAAAGATCTAGTCATGTACATGATAATTATAAATCTTGTTTTTGATAAATGTTTGGAAATTATCAGAAATTTTGCATAAAAGGAAGAACTTTAGCCATAAATAAGATTGGGAGAAATCGGGGGCATTAAGATGACAACATCAGAACTGTACTTGAAAGCACACAAGTACATAAAAATACTAGTACTGAACGCTTTTCTCAAAAATAATCTCACAAAATAAAGAGCATTTATCAATATAAATAACAAAAGAAAACAACATTTTCTCATCTTAATTTTGCGTTTTCAAAGTTAATCGGAGGTTTCTTGCCTGTTTGTTAAACTCAATGACAAATATTTGTTAAATTTCACGCCATAAAAATCAAAAACTGTTGCTTACCATTAATGTGTTTGTAAACTAAATGGGTGACGGACGGTGTAAAGTTGATATCACAGGACCATTTGTGTAACTTACCAAAAGAATTGAAAACACAATAAAATGCTAGTTTCATGAATTGTATTGAATATTAAAGACATCAAGTGTTAATAGTTTACATAATTTAAAAGTAAATAAAACAAAGATTGGAAATATTCCGAGAAATAAAACAACGGCTAACCGCAATGGTGGTCAAAGCGCTTCTGGTCAATTATGACGTCACACCTTCAAAGGTTTAATTGTTCGTGAAAGTTTCACGTCATAAACTGACGTCATAAACGTGTGTCCATTAACACAACACTTGTTAATAGAAATTAACATACAAAATGAGATAAAATTATGTTGGCAAATGTGTCAAAAAATCCAAAGCGTTACGTGTTTAGCAGAGTAAAAAAATGGCTTACAGATTTCTTATGTCGTTGCCATCAATAAACTTGGTAAATATAAGTGACTGTCATTTAAATTATGTTTGTACATAAAATGAAAATCAAGAAACAATATTAAAAAGATAATTGATAACAAACAGTTGTACTTTGGTTGTTGTAGTTTTTTCAGGAAATGGGAGAACAAGTCTGTGAAGGTTTATACAATGCCGAGACATCAGCGATAAATTCTGTTCCATTCCCTTAATTTCTTTTATTTATTTCTTTTGAACCTTACACTCACTCGGTCGCACACAAATCCTTGGATTGATAGGATGCACATTATTATTTAATCATAAATAATTCTTTTACTTACTTCATGAACAATCTGGAATCGTAAATGAAAAATCAGCAGCTGTTTCAAAATTCCAAATATTATCATTTCATATAATATGTTGGCTACTGCTTAAGCCGGTGCTAGGGGTGGTGGACCGAAACTTTTACTTTTCATTATAGTCATTGAACAGACTCAATCAAATCGAAACCAGGCCCGGATCCACAGAGGGGGGGGGGATGGAATTAAGGGGCTGAAGCCCCCCAAACACCTTGCCCTAAATTAAAAGTTATACCAAAAGGCACATTGAGAGCGAAATATTAGCAAAAACTCGCTTAAGATAAATGTAAGTCACTAAATCCTTGTTAATTTCTGCCTGGACCCCTGCTAAGTTTCCTGTCATAAAATTCTTTTAGTCAAAACATTGCATGCCTCTAGCCAATTTGTCAACAAAATATCTTTGACTATGTACTCCTGGTCATGTAGACGCTTTTCGTTGATTACCCTGGTCAGTGTTGTGGAACATAAAGTGCCTACATGATACTGTGTAGATTAGCCCAAGTATTCTTAGGAGATCGCAATGCCAAAACTTGTTAATTAGAAATAGCTCCCTTGAATTTGACGACGATTTTTAATATATAATATTCAAATAGTTCTTTATTTATATAAATACTGAAGTGTAAGTGATGTAAATCTTTGATAAAAAATAATTTGAGTACTGCTCAAGCCGGTGCTAGGGGGCGTAAATCCTTTAATCCTTTAAAATAAGCTGGGGATCATAAATTGCATTCATAGTCTTGTCTTTACCTGAAACACTAATGTCACTGTCAATGATTTCAGAGATGGATAGTGAATTTAGACAAATTGATCCTCCAGATTAAGATATACCAGATGTACTTGGCTTTGCATGATTGACAGATGATTTGGGAGTATTGGCTTTGCTTTGTTTGGCAAAGATCTCTTGGTTGTTAATAAATTTGGTGGCTGACTTGCTTGTATCGATTTGACTTTATTTTTCGATAATGGCTGTATTTTTTACTGTTTAACATTTTGCCTCATACATAGGGAGGAAAAAAATCTCTTTGGTCTCTGCTTCAATTGCACGGCTGTAATTGTTCTGCTTTCAAAGAAAGTAGATAAACGTTCCTGAGATTGTGACTCCTGGTTGCGAAATTCAGTAGGTTGGGCAAACAGGACGCTCTCTTAAAATTAAATTCCGAGAAAACTTCTATAAAATGAGAAATCGTAGCAAATTACTACTCTTTTATATCAACACTTTAGAAAAGTTTGCCATTCTTTTTAACATGTAAAAATTCAACCAGTGGAACAAATTATTTACGATTTTGATCGTATTGTATTTTATTCTTTTCCCTGTTTTAAACGTGCCTTAAACTGATTACTCTATAATCACATCCTTTGCTGGATATGGGGTCAGGGACAACTCCAGCCTCCTATCTTATCAATATACTGATTAAGAGGGTGGCTGGTATTGTCCCCGGCACCCTGGGGGCGCCCTGCTTTGGCAGAGAGGAAAAGTGCTTGCATTTTACGTTGCCACGGAGGTGCTCGGGTTGATTTCAGGGCCCCATTCCCAGCCCGGTGGTTATTTAGTTTATTTTATTGTTGTAATCAAAACATACTGAAATATGCAATTTAATTCATCACAGTGAATGCTTATGGTTTCTGGTACATTTATTATTAAGAAAAGTAAAAAAAAATATTGATATAAATGAAAAGAAAATACAATAACATATTTTTGCACCATTCATTTATATTTAACACAACTTTTACTATCTTTTTTTTCTCTTATTTTTGCAGTAAGTGTAATTTCTTTTATATGCCACCATTATACAATATGTTTTTGAGGTCTGTATGTTTGTTTAAACTTTTCCACTGGGTATATATATTTAACTTAGTCAAGTGTAATGTTTATATGTATTTTAGATATAATGATGAATGTTTTTTTGTAAAAATTAGCAATGAGTAATCTTAAAATATTCTCTTACAATTGCCGTGGTTTAAATGACAGCATCAAGAGGCGTGATGTTTTTAATCTATTTCATACAAAATATGCTGATATAATTTGTCTGCAAGAAACACATTTTATTAAAAAATTTGAAAAGAAAATTTATTCTGAATGGAATGGCTTATGTTATTTTAGTCATTGTAAATCTAATACAAAAGGTGTGGCCATCTTATGTAGAAAAGATTTAGATATTAAAATAAATTTTGTTAAAACTGATGACTCTGGAAGTTTTATAATGTTAGGTATTTCATTGGGTTCCATAAATTTTACATTAGTTAATATATATGCACCAAATACAGATAGTCCTAGTTTCTTTAGAAATATTTTTGATATATTAAATTGTTCTGATGAAAATGACTCTCTAATAATTTGTGGAGATTATAATCTTGTTCAAAATTCAGACCTGGACTACTATAATTATAAATCAAAGAATAATAATGTGAAGGCTAGAAATTTTTTACTCAGTAGTATTGAAGATAAAGAACTTATTGATCCTTTTAGAGAGTTACATGGTGATATAAAAAATATACATGGAGACGCACCAACCCAATACAGCAAGGTAGATTAGATTTTGTTCTTATAACAAAAAATTTATATCAGTTTGTACGTAAATGTGACATTGATGCTAGTTATAGATCTGATCATTCAATGATATATTTGGATTTTTGTTTTGTTCCTGTTACTCATGTAAAAGGTTTATGGAAATTTAATAATGCTCTTTTACATGACATTGAATTCCTTGATATCATTAATAAGAAAATAGAAATAGATGAAAAAAAATTGCGATATTGTTTACCTGTATATAATATAGATTATGTTTTGAATATAAACAATAAAGATATAGACTTTGTTATTAATGATGAACTTTTTTTAGAGACACTTTTAATGGAAATTAGAGGTAAATCCATTTCTTATAGCTCTTTTAAGGCTAAAGAAAGAAATACATATGAAAAAAAATTATTTGAAGAAATTATTTTTCTAGAACAAAACTTGACAAATGATAATAAAGACAAACTTCTACATTTACAAAACGAATTGACTGAATTAAGAAACAATAAAATAAAGGGTGCTATGATTAGGTCAAGGTCACAATGGATTGAATCTGGAGAAAAACCTTCTAATCACTTTTTAAATTTAGAGAAATCACATTGTTCAGCTAAGACAATACCTTTTCTGGAACTTGATGATGGAACTTTTATTTCTGATCAAAAGGATGTACTAAAAGAAACTAGTGCTTATCATGAAAACTTATACAAAAGTGTAACTTTGAATGATTGTAATATTGATAAAGAATTGAGAGATTGTGATATTAATATGCTGTCTGATAGTGAATCACTCAAGCTTGAAGGTCTCCTTTCATATGATGAAGTCTCCTTTACATTAAAAAATATGAAAAATGATAAAAGCCCTGGGTGTGATGGATTTACAGTAATTTTTTTCAAAACTTTTTGAATAGAATTGGACATTTTGTGATGAAAGCTATTAATTATGCATACAAGGTTAATTCATTTTCTAGAAATCAAAAACTAGGAACAATTACATGCATTCCAAAACAAAATAAACCTAAACATTTTTTAAAAAATTGGAGACCGATTACTTTATTAAATGTAGTATATAAATTAGCCTCAGGTAGTATAGCAAACAGACTTAAAAGTGTTTTAGATATTTTAGTGTCAAAAGATCAAACTGGTTTCATTAAAAATATGTACATTGGTGAAAATACTAGAGTATTGTATGATATAATGAAATACTCTGAAGATAATAATATACCAGGTTTATTAATGATGATTGATTTTGAAAAAGCTTTTGATACTTTATCTTTTACATTTATAGAGAAATGTCTTTCATTATTTCATTTTGGTCCAATGTTTAGGAAATGGATTTCTTTGTTTTTATATAAAACTGAAACTTGTGCAATATAAAATGGTTTTTTATCCCATTTTTTTAAAATTAAACGAGGTTGTAGACAAGGTGATCCAATTTCACCTTATATCTTTATTCTGTGTGCAGAAATTTTAGCAGTTAAAATAAGACAATGTAAAGATGTTAAAGGTATAAAAATAGATGGCGAGGAATATAAAATATCTCAGTTTGCGGACGATACATCACTACTTTTGGATGGTTCAGAAAAATCACTTAATACTGCTTTAAATTTGTTAAATAAATTTACAGAAATTTCAGGTTTAAAGATAAATTTTGACAAAACTAAGATTATTTGGATAGGCTCTCTTAAATATAGTACTAGATCAATTAAGACAAGGTGGAAACTAACATGGGGTGACACACAGTTTAAACTATTAGGATTAACTTTTGATGTTAATTTAGAAAAAATGATTGGTCTAAATTTTGATGAAAAGCTGCAGAAAGTAAAAAATAGTATTATTTTTTCTGTATTTATTCTGATTCTGTATTTACCTATTTTAGTCATTGGAAAAAAGGGTATTAACTCCACTAGGAAAAATCACTGTTGTTAAGTCCATATTGCTTCCTTATTTACTCATTGTTTTACAAGCCTACCTACACCTAATACTGCTTTTTTGAAAACACTTAATGATTTATTTTATGATTTCATATGGGAAGGTAAGGCAAAAATTAAACAATCTGTAATCATAAAAACATACAAAGAAGGTGGTCTTAACATGGTAGATATTAGTAGTTATGTTCATTCTTTAAAAATAAAATGGCTTAAAAGATATGTTAGCAATTGTGATAATAAATGTTTTAAGTTTGTGAACTCATTGTTTAATATTGATAAAGTTTTTAATTTTGGAAAAATGTATTGTATGTTAATTAATAATAAGATTAAGAATGCTTTCTGGATTGATGTTTTGAAAGCTTACATGATCTTTGTTGATAAACTTTGTATAGATAACTTCGAACAAATATTACATATGCCACTGTTTTATAACCATTGCTTTTCAATAGGACATAGATATATCTACATAAAATATTTTTATGACAAAGGAATAAGATTTGTGAAAGATATTCTTAATGAACAAGGTTATTTTATTGAGTTTAATCTTTTAGAACAGTGTATAGGCAAACAAGTTAATTTTTTAGAATATCATGGTTTAAAACAGGCTATAAAATCTTACATGCTAAAGCTAAATATTACCATTAATACTGATTTGCTAAATGTTCAATATCCTATTGTAAACTGTTTTATCAAACCTATTATTATTACAAATAGCAATAAGAAATACCTGTA